CACTCTACAAATTAGTTTAGAGGAGAGGCTTGGCCTGGGCACATGGGTTAGGGAGTCACCAGTGTATACAATAGATAGTATAATATTTAAAGCTGCAGGACAAGATGAGATCAACAAAGGAATGAGTGTAGGTAATAGAGACGAGTTCAAGGATTGAGCCTGGGGCTGTATATTGTTGGGGTTGTTAAAAGGACTAAATGACAGAGCTCATGTTAGCATCAAGCATGGCACTTCATATTACTGATATGCTTGGTAGCTGGCTTATAAAAGCCCTTTTGTGGGCATTTTTTTAATTTAAATTTTATTTTCCAAGTGATTACTAAAATTATTAAATGAGTTGCACTCATTTAGTCCTTAAATCAATCCTGTGAAAAGAGCTGCTGCCCTCTATTATAAAATGAGGAAACCGAGAAGCATGCAAGTGAAAGGACTTGCCCAAGGTCACACAGTGTCTGAGCCAGAACCAGGACTGGAAACCAGACTCCCAGACTCTGAGGCGCCCACTCTTTTTACTACTTCCTGTTAACCTTTGGGAAAGGGTGGCCTGCATGGCTGCGTGGGGCCCAACTAGGAGATGGTCCTGGTAAGCCTTAGTGTCAGGGACAGTGGCTAACCAAAGGAGATGATTAGAGGGGCCTGGGAAAAGACAGCAAGAAAACAGGGAGGAGCCTTGCTGAAAGAGGCTTGAAGGATGCTGGAGAGGAGAAAGATGTTTGGGGCAATGATTTGGGGGTTTAAGGAGAGGGGTGATGCATCAGCACCTGCGCCAAAGACAACAGGCTCTGAGAGTGGGTTCTGTCCCCAGAGCCTGGAAACAGCCTCAGGAAAGGGGAGAGAGTAGTATAGGTCCTGTTGTCTAACTCCTTCAAGTCCTGCCCAGACTGTCTCTCCTCACCCTGGGCTGCCATGGACGCCGGATGGGGCAGGAGAGGGCCTAGTGTGCAGGCAGACTGGGCTCCTGGACGGTACAGGTGATGCTGCTCCCCACTTCATTGTCCTCATGACTCCAGCCTTAGGGACTGGGTATGGAGGGCACAGGGCCTACTCCCTTCTCTGCTATTTCCAGTCCCTGGGCCTGAGAGCCCCAGCACAGAGTGGGTTAAAGGTCCTGGAACCTTTGCCCGAAGTGGGGGCAGGGAACTGTCACCAGGAGCCCTGTCTGGCTTGATAATCCAGGCTGCCTATCTCCTTCACAGCAGCTGCGAAGCAGACAGGTTGTTCTGGCAGGGAGGGAGGGAGCTAAGGGCGTAGCTGATGGCGGGAAGGATTTGAAGAAGGGAGGGATGCCCAGGCGCCTTGGGGATCCTTTCTCACCCAACAGCTACCTTCAGGACTGTGCCTGGAGACCGTAGAGGTCATGGCCCAAGTCTGGACCTGGGGGTTCCCACTGACTCAGAGAACGGGAACTGGGAGTTGATGAACAGACTGAGGGAGGTGTCAATTGGAAAATCTCTATTTCTGACTCAGTATGTATGTACCCAGGCAGGTACACACTCTCATGTGACTGATCACACATGTCTGTGGGTACGTGCCCCATTGGGGAGGATGAGTAGCGGAAGCCCCTTACAAATCCAGAAGAAAAGGAGCCTGGCGTTTGTTGAGTTCCTATAATATAGGAGCCAGGCTCTAGGTTAGAAATTTTTACCTCTACTATATTACTTAATCTGCATAACAATCATAGAAAAGAAGGCATTTAAAACCCATTTTACTGAGAAGAAAGCCAGGACTCTAAGAGTAGGGCAGGGCCCAGGCCCACTTGGTAGGTAGTGGTGGAGCCCAGGCTCTGACAAATCCAAAGCTGTGTTTTTCCCTTCGGGCTCTGAGTGTGTCCTGGGCAGGTGGTCTGGAAGAAAAGCAAGAACTCTAAGGCACAACCCCTGAACCGTGCAGGCTGAGGCTCTGGTTCAAGCCAAAGATAACCTGTGATTCTAGGGCACGTGAGCTCCTTGTGAGGGCCTGGCTACAGAAGGTTAGAGAAAAGAGAGGGGATTGTTGTTGGGTTGGAGTTGGCCGAGAGCAGTGAGTGGTGGAAGAGGCTTAGAAAGGAACCAGATGGGGCCGGCCGAGTGGCNCCCAATAAAATCTTAAAAAACAAAACAAAACATGATATCAAGGTTTATTAAAAAAAATACTACAGTTCTGGCAACAGATAATACTGTGAGAGAATCTCAGGGATGACACAGAAATTAGGGGGAATGAGTCAAAGTGTCTTGTTAATTCTTTTTTTTCACAGAAATTTTTCCTCAAAGGATATTGTGGGGGAATTTTATATTTTGAGAGGCTAATCAAATGAAACAGACGGCCTCAGTTCATATTTATACTTGACACATTAGCTGTGTGAGTTTGGACAATTTCTTTAAACGCTCATCTGTAAAATGAAGATAATAAATATATCATTGTTCATTTGAATCTAGGACTTAGAACAATATAGACTCTCAATACATTTTCCCATTTTAAGACTACTTGTTTTGCCCCTTCAGTAATCTTGTTCCATGAATTATTCTTTCTTTTCTGTATAGGCAATTTCTGTACTGTATTCCTCTTATTCACATTTACTTAAACAAATGCTTAATCTCTTCCATCTGAAAAGCAAAAAAATCTTCCCTGACTGTGGGGGCCCAGGTGTTAGGGCCTCCCAGGGTCAGGGAATGTTTACAGGCTTTGGAGAAGGCAGCCCTGACTCCCCCGGCCCCAGGTGGGACTGCAAGGAAAACAACTTGTTTATGTGAGTTGCTCTTAGTGTGCATGTGTTCTGACACCAAGACAGGATTGTTATTATGTTATAAAAACCCCAGTTCTGCTTACCTGGGCCCCTGTTCTAGGTTGTGCTGCTCTGCTGCTGGTTTCTGGGTTCTGGCTACTGCTGCTGCTGTGTGTTCTGAGTTCTGCCTCTGTTGCTGCTGCTAAAAGTGTTGCTGCACTCATGTCGAAGACTCTGCGAGGCTTTTCTTCCATTTGGGTACCTCATCACCGAAACCATCCCTGCTTGAAACACTCGGACCCGACACTGACCTTAAGTCCTTTTCCAACTAGGTATCATTATATCTTATTCACTAAAATAGTGCAGCGAAGATAGTGGACAGAGGCAGATGGATTCCAGAGACTGACCGGGAGTTTCAGTGATAAAAACCGTCCAGGACAAATCTATCTGGGCCCTTTACCTCTGTGTATGGCCACGGCAGGGACGCCACGAGTCAACGAACTGTCAGGCTGAGAGAGTCCGAGAAAGCGGTCCAGGGCTGAGTTCTGGCCATAACGCCCAGAAGCCGAGGCCAGGAGGGGACCACGGAAAGCGGCGCCACCGACACAGGACACGCACCTCCGCTGACAGCCCAAAAGCGACAGGAACCGGGTCGCCCACCCTCTCGCGCCTATAGGGCCCAGCTGCCAAAACCCTAACACCGCTCGAAGGAGCGCTGCCCCATGCCGACCTGGGGCAGCCATTACAGCCGCAAGGCACGCCAGGAACTGACGGTAACGCACCTACGATTGGACGGAGGGGCGGAAGGGCGACCGAGCAGGAAAGAGCTAGATTGGCCCACAGAGCGGAGACGCACGGAGACGTAAGAGATGGGATGCGGCAGGAACTATCCTGGAGACCTGCCAAGGCCAAGGAAAGGGAAAGATGAGTATTTAGAGTGTGTGGACATGATGATCGTTTTGGAATCCTATACACATCGTGTTTTCTTGCCCTGCCAAAGTTTTGTAAAAGGCCCTTCTAGCCCTACCTCCAGCAAGACTACATCTCCCACAAGGCCAAGCGGCAGAAATCGTACTCTTAGCGCCTGACTTGACCCAGCTGGAGAATCGGGCGTATCCAGGGAATAATGGTCTGGTGGGAGGGGAGAGCGGGCACTTCTGCTGCTCCCCTTAAGGGTTGTTTTAGCCCTCTCCAGCCTCAGACTTGCAGAATCCTCTCCCAGTCCTAATTTGGCTTGGCCTAGCGGTCCGGCAGCGGCCTCCAGCGGTCTGCACTTTAACTTTATGCGAGCCTGCTCTAAGGAGTGGTCCGTAGGCTGGCGTTTCCGATGTAGCAGCCTACCCAGATTTCCCTCCTATAAACCTCGGCTACTGTCTCCTCCCTGAAGTAATTTCTGAAGAAAAAGCAGGGGGTCTGCAAATGAAGAAGTTTAGTTTCCTAGGATCTCCCAGACTGCCTTAGCGGCCTGAGGAACTTGATTTACCTTGGCCTATATGTGGCCTAAAGCTCTCTTCAGCCTTTGAAGCCTATCAAACTCTTGAAATTGAGAGATAAATGAACAAAATGGACAAAATTTCCCATCACTTGCATCCTGTGTGTTTGTGTGTGTGTGTGTGTTTGGGGGTGGGGGAGACAGAGACAGAGTCAGAAAGATGAGTGACCTGACAGGAACAATTTCAGTAGAGCGATCCTAAATAGAGTGGGTTTAGGAGGAGAGGAATTAGGGATAGCTGGAATATATATCTATATATTTATATCTATATCTCTATATCTATCTATCTAAACTCTTCTCAGAGGAGCAGAGCAAAAGGGAGTGGAAACAAAAGAGAGAAATGGGGTTAAGAGAGGGTTGTCTTTTTGAAGATGGGAGATTTTGTGTGTTTATGGCAATGACCCAGTAGAGAGGGAAGAGTTGATGATATAGGACAGAAATGGGAGAATTGTTGGAAGATGGTGAGAATCAACTGGCCAGGCTGCTGTAGGAACGGAGGCTGAGTGTTCAGAGAAGCTCTGAGTAACACAGGGTTGACAGCCTGGGCAGCCAAGTACACTGATGGTTTGCAAATGGTGCCAGGCTCCACTTTTCAGACTGCCTGTTATGTTAGTGGAAGGAACAGCCTTTTTGGTTTTTTTTTGTTTTTAAAGATTTTTTTTTTTAATTGGGGAATTGGGGGGATGGGAACAGAGCTGGGGAATTGGGGGAAGGGGAACAGACAAATTGCTGTCCTTTTGTTCTTCAGTCTAGTTGTGGAGGACGTTGCTTCACTGGCCCAAGTTGGCACCATCATTGCACTCNAGTGGCTCCTGCTGGACGCTTGGACTGGGATGTCCTGGGACGGGTAGTAGAGGGTGGTCAGTCGAGGAGCTTCACAGAGAGGCGGAGCTGAATCTCACAGAGGAAGATATCCATAAGGTCTCGGCTGGCCTCCTGGGCAATCTGGGAGATCAGGTGCCCCTTCGGACCAATCAGGATCCTCTGAGGGTGGGATACAAGAGGAACTTGAGCCTTCTCTTGGAGCTCCCAAGCACTGGGGAAGGACCCCTGCCTAACAAGCCTAGCCCCGCTTACCACATGAGATTCTTTGGGCACCAGAAGCTTCTGTACGATCACCAGCTCCCCACCTGGCCCTTCTTCCCACACAATTGTTCTCTGCACAAGGGAACATGATTAGTGGGGCAGGTCCCTACCCCTAACCTCTCTGGGACCCAGCTGTCCTGCTCGGGGTGGGGAGCCCCCAGATCCCTTCCCTGGGCCTGTACCTGCTGTATACTGTAGGGCACCTCCTGGGGCAGGTGCTCTAGGAGTTTCTCTCGGATGATGTTGGCGCAGATCTCCTCAGGCATCTGGCTAGTGAGGACTTCACTATGGAACTCCCAGGGCCCTGGCCGGGCCTGTGCCAGGAGGTATTGCTGTGGGCACAGAGTGAGTATGTGAGGGTCTCAGTCCCAACCAGGACTTTTCTACTCACTCTCACCTCCAGGAGGAACTCTGAGGCTTGTCTTCACATGGTGGAAGCCAAAGGCCAGGCTACGGTCAAGGCTGACTGACCTTTAGTGTTTTCACATCCTCCTGGCTTAGGGCTGACAACATGAAGATCTCCTGGAAGTGGGGCCAGCCAATCCTCTGAGAGCTTCCCACAGACTGTGTGTTTGGGTCCTTAGTTGCTGGGCTGGGGCAACGGGTGCCCTGCTGTGAGCGGACGGCCTGCCTTATCTTGAGCTTCTTGCCATTGACCACACCTTCAGTGAGGGCTGCTGTGAGCTCCAGAAGAACCGACTTCTGCTTCAGGCAATCTACCTGGGCATAGGGAACAGGCAGAGGGTATGTGGTCAGCGAGACGGGGGCTTTGGAGGAAAGTAGACCCCTTCCTCGGGTAGGTGGTGCTCACCTTGTTCATAACAAGAATGCTGGGGACTTGGGAGAACTGGGTCAAACACTGGAGCACTTGAGGGCTGAGCTGGTTCCGAGTCCACTTGTCCGAGACATCCACAAGAACCACAACTGGAAGTTGGCAGGGTGGGGAGGAGGACAAGGATATGACCACTCCTTACACCCTCCCTCCCCCGCACCGGGAACTTCCAATGGTATGGGGCTCTGTCCAACCCCCACCTCCCAAACTACCAGGAATGAGAGGTTGTATAAATTGGACTTGATTCCCATCCCGAGCCTAACCCAGATCAGCAGATTCCATGCTCTTCCATGGATCTTCCAACAAAGACAGCTCTAGATGGTGCCTGAGGGATAGACATACATAGGTCAGGAAGGGTCCTGTGACTGATGCACTCCTGATGAGGGATGGAGTGTGGTAAGAGGATTTCCCAGCCCCTAGGATGGAATCTCCCCATCCCCTCTTCAAAGCCTTTTCCCCTACCACCCTTGTTTCCATAACTATTACCTTTTCTGTTTAACAGGGCTGATGAGGCCAGGTGTGTCAAGTAGAATCTAAAACCAGGAAAGAGAGATGCCTAGACCCCCAGACCCCAGGAGGAAAGATTATGACTGGGGAGTGAGAAAGGCCACCCTTGATGTCAGAAGCCTGCCTCAGCCCCCACTTCTTGGCCAAGCTGACTACATTTTTACCCTACAGCTTTAATTCTAGATGGGATCCAAGAGGAAGATGCTGACTGTGAATATATGGAAAATTAGGAA